AATACATTATATAGTAATAATAATAATGATATCGATTTACTGCAAATCTATTTAATTTTAAAAATTTTTTATATCAGAGAATAACAAAAAAAAATATAAAGGGAGAATAATTGCTTGAAATCTAATTCTTTCCTGGTAATGACATAGATTAAAAGATAAACGCGTATATAATGTGCCGTCATCATCATTACACGTGTAAAGTTTAATACGCGCTTTGTTTGATTATTTTAGTATAAATGCAAAATAATTGTGAGCAATATGTTTTTTCCTAGTTTTGGGTAGTTAAAATCGGTGATTCCATTTTTATATACAATAATCCTGTTTTTATTCTCTTTTATTCTTTTTCAAAGTAGTTTATAGTGCTTAAATAACACGCGTTATTTTTTTAAATAAATATAAATGGCAATTACTTTATCAATATTTTGGGGCTTTTTTTGATAATAATCACCATTTAAAATTATATAAGAAAATTATATATCTTATATATGTATATAAAATAAATAATTTTTCTATTTTATATATTGTTAGGTTCCATTATATGTAACACGTGCAATATACAAAGAATATAGCTCAAAGAATTATTTGATCTAGTTTTACAGATTTCACGGTGAAATAGGAAAGCCGTATGCTATTTGGGTTAATAGACGCACATGTTCTACATTTGAATTATAAAATATTCGTTAGTTTGCTCGCACATTAATTACGCACGTGCAAGTGATCGGAGTGAATGCGAAAAGTATGATTGCTTAATGGATATTTAATAAAAATCGAGCGTGATAAAATGCGACTGCTACTTTTTCGTGGCCGCTAATTACAACTACAATTACTAACAATTTAATGCGGATTAATGTGTACATACAACGCACGTTGTTTTACTTGCATTTAAAAATATTATAACAGAATTTGTTACCCTATACATGTTGATTACACAATTCCTATAAAACTTCATATTTCTTCTATTTTTATAATATATATGATACAATAATATTACTTTTTTTAATATTGCAAAGAAGGATATACATATATATGGATTTAATTTCTTAATCATGAGCGCATGAATTTATTGATATCTATTAAAAAGATTAGGAAAGCTTACATATCATGAATTAATTTGATTGCGTCAATTCTATTTTGTTATAATAATTTATAATCCTATCGCCCAATACAATAAGATCGATATTTCAAATGGTTTTTAATTAATATTATCGCGATTCTTCAGGTACTGCGCGTTATCCACATGAAGCGCTTTGATAAATACAACTTCGTTGCATGTTAATGTAAATTACGAATAATACTCGAGGCAATTATTTCAGGGTCACATACTTCCCGTAATATTGACGCACGTATTATTAAGTTATAAAAAAGTAAAAAATTTTATTTCTACGTTAGATATAATATTTGTATATTCTTGTTTCTAAAAAATATAAAAAAATTACTTTATTTTACAAAATAATAATCATCAATATTTGCGAGAAAAATTAAATTGCATTCTTAATTTTTTTTTTTCGAGAATAAAGTTAATGATAGACAAGTGTCACGAGATGTGCGTGACTGTTATATCACATAACAATGACATTGAAAACATAATAGTTCTGTCACGATTACGTCTTTAAGACATGCGTGTTCTTCGAAAAATGACACTCAATGCCTTATAATTGTAATGACTATTGTTTTCGTGACAATTATTTATTACTGTTTTCGCGCATGTATATGAAGAGACATTCTATTTATGCTATATTTAATCTGTTAAACTTTTCTTACGTAATTGTTCTTTTTGCGAATCTTGCGTCATCGGAAACATACGTTTGCAACAATCGCTATAATTACGTTAGTAACCTACATATTTAGTTTACACATAGTGATTATACGATGCAAGAAATGTTAAATATTTTTAAAGTTTTGTGCGCCGAATAAACTATTAATTTATGACTCTGCTTTATTTAATCACAATTTTTGTTTTATTTGATCTCATTTTCATTTAACTTGAAATAACAAATGTATCTCTGTTACATAATTTTGTGAACTTGCTTTTGCTCGCTCTTATTCTCGGATAAATTTTATTTTGGCACTCGGATTTATGGTACCGTGTAATACAGAAATAGAACTTTAAGGTATATTTGAAATTGCCGAAAAATTGTCAATAAATAAATGAATTCTTACAAACGTAACTTATTTAAAAAAAAATAAGATTAAAAATAGTCACTAAAAAAATCTCTATATACATTAAATACAAAAACCCTTTATGCACATTTTAATATAATTTCAAATTTATTTTAAAAAATATACAATTTGAAATTATTTAAACCACCTATAAAAATTATATATTTATTTAATTGTAACTTTAATTAATATAATTAATATATTTATTTATAATTTATGCTTGAATCATCTTCGACATGATCTTTCAAACATGTCATCGTGATAGTCATATTTTGAATCATGTCTTTGCATATCTGGCAGTAAGCAATCGACAGGTGACACCAGACATGCAGCAGCATGCGATTACGTCAAGATTCTCTTTCTTTTTTCTGATCATCGAACATGGCCTCGTCGTCATACTTATCGAAGCTGCATCAGCATGGCTTTACTTTCACACACAGTGTGCAAGCAAGATCTCAAGTAAATGCGCTATTACGCAATATACGCAAGGCAATAAAGTCGTATGGCAGAGATTAAGTGAGCTCTTATATGATCGCTATTAATAACCATGCAAATACTGTCATTGTTGTGATTTTCCATATCATTAATAGAATCTTCACATCGGCAATAGGTCGATAATGCCGACGATAATATAATAGTGTGAGAGGTTCTTTAGATCCCCGCATGCACGGTGACCTACCTACGATAGACTCATGTTCGTGTTACACAGCTGGAAATAAGTCATTTCTCCATTAGGTCCCCTTAGGCAACGCTCACATCAGGCTTTCATATCATTCAAGTTTTAATCTACTTCTTTCCGTTCTGTTTCTCCGTGCTTATTGTTAACACGCTGAAATATATTTGCATGCTCTTTCTCGTCCAAAAATATCTTCGTTAGGTTTTATAGTTCAGAACATAATGGAAAGTTATATATAAATTATTTATTAATGTTATTGTTTACATAAATTAGATATTTAATGAATAATAATTAATTTTGCATCTTCGAGCTTTCGAATAAAATGGAAATGTTTGTGAACGTTTTTTTTTCTATATTTAACAGATTTTTTTCGCAGTTGTAGTCTTGAATTACTATTCTTCATGTAATTTTATGGTGACCAGTAGTACATAAGGTATCTTCGTGTTAAATTGTGGTAAAGATAATTAACCATGCAGGGAAAAACTTTTTTTTTTTTTGTTTTTCTCATTACGCAACAACGATTGCCATGAAAGCCGACTTTTAATAATTCCTATTCTTTTCAATATTCTCGCGGAAGTGAAATCTTGAATACCTTCGTCAAGCATCATCGACATTGTGTTCCGTCGAGGACAATCGCTTTGCATTTAATTGCAGGGAAACGAGCTGAATACATTAAAATAGACAGACTTTTAGCTATGAACGTAATTGAATGCTGACGGGTTGTTGTATTCCTAAGTATGACGCCATAAAGCCGGAGTACTTACGTCGCGCACCTTTACTTTCTTTTACATATGAATCGATAGGCAGGAAAAGTTTTAAGATTCACACAAGATTTATCACACACAAAGTCTCTAATATATAATATAAAGGATTTATCAAATCAAATATAAAAGATTTATAAAAATCAGTTTTTTCACAAAATATTTTTCTTAATAAGATAGAAAAAAAATTTTTGCTCCGGTTTATTTTTATGATTTACCTGATACCAGATTCTTTATTAATGTCGAGATGAATGAACAAAAGTATTATATCTTCTTTTAAAAATCCTGAAAAATAAGCATAAAACAATTTCTAAAATATTTTTTAATTGATTTTTCTTGTCAACATTTTTTCAGGAGGTTTATTTTTATAATTTTTAAAAAATTTTCCTCATCGACAACATTTTTTGAGGAAGTTTTTCTTTATAATTTTTTTAAAGCCGCATTTTTTTTTTTTTTTTAAATTAAAATAGCAGCTCTCAGCAATGCATTAACCATACATAGAGTGATATCACTCGCGTTAATGGCTTGGGAAATCATATGGTTAAGTTGGAATCAAAGTTTCATCAGCACTTAAGCGTCTCGCGAGACCGAAGAAACCATAATGTCGAGACCGCCTTAACGTAATTCGTGTCGAAGTTTCCATGAGAAAACATGTTCCATTTTTTGCGAGAACGGTGGAGTGACTCGGGAAGGTGAAACGATCTCCGTAAAATTGAGATCCTTCGCTCGAAGTGTAACGCCTCGGGAGTATTACTGTTTACAAAGTAATATTCACGAATTTCACATGCATTTTTTTCTCACTTTATTTCAAATTCGCTTTGTCTTTGCGGCTCTATTCTATTTTTATAGCATACTGTTGAATCTTATAGAACAGGAGAATGATATTAAATTATATGTGCAATGTGTCGCATTTTCGTTTTTATTTAACGGCATGTCGATCGTTATGTAACTTGATTCTACCTTTAAAGAGATTTTATTCGGCTAAATATTCAAAGAGATTTTATTCGGCTAAATATATCGAGAAAAGTAATTGAGATATTTTCAGAGCAGAGCTCAGTCATGCTTCAGATGAATGATCTGTCCAAATAAACGATGCCGATCAAAGCTATCCTCACGCGGGCAATCTTTTTCAATTTTCCAGACATTTATGGAGTGACGGATGCGCAGCGCACGTGTGCGAACACGTGGACGCTGACGCCGGGGAAATCGCCGATCCATCGTCTTGTGAGACGTCTGATCATCCCTGTTTTATGCATCAAGGCATCCCTCGAACGTGACTTACGACGCGTCGGATAGGATTAGGAGGAAATTCTCTGTCGAAATTGCCTGCAGATTGGCAAGCCGTGAGTCATCAACCACATCCAATATCGACAATGAACTTAAATTCGCTTTCGCGGAGGAAGTGAAGGAATTTGTGCGTAATACAAGAAAAGATACAAATCCAAATGGCATTCTGATAAGAATTATAGATCATCGTTTCAACTGACACGAGAAAACATTGAGGTATAAATAAATAATGTTGCATATATACATATATATAAATGCATAAATAAATGTAAATGCATTTAGCATTTATTTATTTAAATTTATTTCTTTGTGCAAGAAGAAAACTAAAAATTTAGAGATAGGAAAGCTGTCGGCTAAATTTATATAAATGATGTATTTTATATACAGGTTGTATCTGAAATGATGCACTAAACTTTAGGAGCGTATTCTAGAGGTCAAAATAAGACTTTTTTTTCTTATAAACATGGGTCCGCAAATAAACCCCCTCCGAGCTAAAATTCGAAAATGTGTGAAATACGTTTTTATTTTTTCATTTTAGTGGAAAAAAAGTCTTATTTTGACCTCTAAAATATGCTCCTAAAGTTTAGTGCATCATTTCAGATACACTCTGTATATATATATTACTTAATTTTTTCTATTTTCATATTTCTTATATTTATTTATTTCTATTTCTGTTTCTATTTATTTACCTATTTACACAGAAATAGTTTAATAGTTAAAAAAGTTGAAAAATAATGTAATATTTTCATATAATATTTTTCTATCTGAAAGATTCGAGACATGATTACTTATAATTGCAAATCGATTTACGCGTCATGTCAAGTTACCGCGCTAATTACGGCGCTAATTTGCAATGCTTAGTTATGTTCTCGCTACGTGTGGTCATGCCGTCTGTGTTCACCTTAGCAGATCCGCCGGAAGTGGAGGAAGACAGGAGGGTGACTTGCGGAGTGAATGTCCTATGAGCTGCGCACGCATTCCTTAGGGACACGCGCGCGGTGCGGACACGATGCAACCCGACGAGGATATTCAGTATGCGCCGAGAAGCCGGCCGGTGAGCTTTTATGACAACTATAAGGTACGGTTTTATCCACGTGGCTCTGTTTATACGTGCGTGTCTTGTCTCCTTACATACTATGAAAAGCTTTTGCGATGACGCGATGCGACTAGCGATGATTAATCATCGATTCGATTATTTTTTTGTGTTTCAAAGAATTTTGTATAATATTAAAAAAATATTATTATAAAATACTATTCTGTAAAATATAAAATTGGTATCTTCTAAATACAGTACATTCAACGTTTTCAAAAGTAAGAAATGCCTTTTATATTTCTAGAAGCAAAAGAAGTTCTTTGCAATTAATTTTCCACATACAGAGAGAATATTTTATTCACGTAAATTTAAAGTAAATAGTACATTTAATAAATAAATATTAATTCAATAAATATTGATCAACTCTAATCACATTAGATTTCATCAGTCTCAAATAGCTCTAATTTTAAATTCCAGGAAATTTCACACAAAACTATTCACTTATTCAAAGAATCACATATCAACAATAAGAACTACAGTTTTTACCGTGTTACCGTATTTTTCGGACACCCAAATCCAGTTGCGCCCCTCTATAAAGTGGTCAGAAACATTTGGCAAAATAACTCGACCCTTTTTTTTTCAACTCCACAGGTCGTACCGATAATGCCGCCTTGCGTCACTTCCGCCATGAGCGTGGGCAATCTGAACCAGGTCCGCGACGGAAATGGCACGTCCGCCGTGTCTCAGAGCAACAACAACAACAAGAGCATTAATAACAGTAATATTAACAACAATAACAATAACAGGGTCAGTAGCGCCGTCAGCGCGGGCAACGTATCGAAGATTCATACTCCCAAGGTCACCGGTGAGTTGAATGCACTTTCCATGATGTTCTTTCTGTGTGTGTTTATGTGTGCGGTGTTTACCTTTTAATTGCGTGTTTTAATCCGCGATGATAAAAATGAAATAAGATAATTTTTGCGATCGTAAATGATTTGCTTCCGGTTTTTTCACTTACATTTTTATAAACTTAAGCATTTAATTATTCTTAAACGTGATTATATGTAATTTACATAATAGTCATTATTATACAAACTCTAATTTTGTATTGTTCCTGAATGATATTGTCGAGACGTTGATCGCGAGTTTGATTTATCTTTTAAATCTAAAAAATTAAACATAATTACAAACAAAAATATGCTTTTGAATAATTCGAATTAAATTTGCCTCGCTGTATTTGCTTATCTACATCGTATATTAATCTTTTTCGTGACAGGTTGACCTGTTCGTTCTACTTCAGGTGTTTTTAGCATCGCGAAATCTCATCGTTCTACATTCTATATGCTACGGTGCTAGCTTTTCATAGAAATGATATTCACGTGTGCCAAAATCGCGTGTGCAATTAAGCAAATTGCATATTTTGAAACAGATAACAAATGTGCAACAGTTGCAGTAGCTTTGCACGTTTTCTTTAATAACGATACATTTTTCTACAGAAAATTTCAAATATTTTTTTTTATGTAAAATATAATTTATACACACACATATAGAGTTAGAAATTGCACACATATTATGCTCGACAGATATTATGTTTCTCTTAAACTTCCTGCCATAAAAATATTCTTGAGAAATAAAAGGAACGTAAAGAATAATTAAGAAATCGCTGATACATAAAAAATACAGATGTGAGAGTAGTATATATATTATATCATGAACAAGCCAAACATTTGATGGTTTGAAGCATTAAATTAAATATTACACGATAAAGTGAATTATATTTTTTAAAATCGCTTACATAGTAAAGAAAGATAAACGAAAAATATCGTGACACATGCTAGAACTATGACTGAACGGTCATAAATCTATTATCTTTACACTTGTACGAAAATAAGTTCTCTTGTCGAAAATGTGATATCTAAAAGATTTGATAAAGTTAAATCAAAGAAACGAAGTTTAAATTTTGAAAACGAGATAATGAACTTTTTCCAAGAAGAAGAAAAAAAATATATTGTATGTGCTATGATTTCATGCTCGTGCACGATATAATATTTATTTTAAATTTTCGTATACTTAAAAGAATACGCGATTTAATTAAATTTATAAAAATAAAAATTTTTAATCAGAAGAAAAAATATTTGCTTTCATTTCCTTATAATCTTAACATGTAAATACATAATAAAAACACTATAAGTTAATCCTCCTTTTTTAACAGAATTAATGACAAGTGACAAGTAATAAGATTTGCAGAAACGTCATTTTTTTTATAGACAAATGTAATCCCAAAACGTTAAATTTTAATTTAAAAAAATAAAATACAGGCAGGATACTTAGATATTTTACTGGACATTTTAACAGGTGCGGTATCAACTGGGAACATCGGACGAATCTCCCGCGGCGAAAAAGAAAAGGAGCTTGGTCGAGCACCATCGATGGCCAACTGCTTGTCAACCACGGTTCCTGTCAACCTGGCAGCTTCTCAAATAGCCGGTCGACATACGCCTACAAGAAATTCTTTGAGGCATAGCAGGATGATCGTGATGCATCGGACCGGTCATCGTGAGTAGACTATTACCTGATATCCTTGTATCTTTTTTCTTTTTTATACTTTTTGAATAGTTTTGAAAGAAACTCTGCTTAACTCTATTCCAAGTAATTTACACACTGTGAGTATTTTTGTGATGCGCGACAAACGATTTTCAATTAATAGAAAACAATTTCTCATATTATCGGAAATACGATCATAAGAAAGTAACAAGTACTTGGTCAAAACGGGTCTTTCGGGATATCTGTTCAAGAACACATGCACTTGGCGAAGTATCGTAAAGTGAGCAGAGGTAATGGCATTTCTTCCATTCCACTCGGTCGATGAAATCTTGCGTATATGATTATTCGTTTTTTTTGCAATTGATTCAATCGATTTCTCTCGAGAGCGAGATTGCGCTCAGGAATCTCATTTCTCGGCCGCGGAATGCGACCGGTCAGGTATCTGTTCGATTTTCTCGATTTCCTTTGATAATCGTTTCGTCGCCTCGCGCGACATATTATTGCGCTTCCTGTGCTAATTAGCGTCACTCTTAATGCGCTCTGCGCCGTGTCGGTTGGCAGGATTGAGGTTGCTGCCAAGGCAGACAGGGAGATTATAATTAACGCTACGTTGTAGACGCAGGAAAGTGTGGTGGTTCTTTATCACCGCGGTAATTAGATAGCATAAAATGCACGCGGCAAATGGCAGCTAATGAGAGACGTCGGAGGTGACAAAAGTGCGACGTGTAAAATGATGAGAGCTTTTAAAAAGGGTAGCCGTAACATTGAAATAACGTTTATGTCACAATATATGAAAAATATGTCTAAAGAATATTGAAAGTAGAAAAGCGTGATCCCTGAAATTAAAAATTGCATATTATATTAAATAAATTAAATTTTAATGACGTTGCATTTTTATCAACGGATGTAAGAGAGAGAGAGAGATTATTGTGTTAATTATTATAGATATTTTTTTTATTTGGAATGCATGTAAAATAATTATGATTTTTTTTATATTTAAAATCATAACACAAACTATATATATAAAAGATATAAAAAGTTACTGCATTAAAATTATTGCAATATACTGAAAACTTTTTATTTAATATTTTAAATAAAAAATAGATATATATTTTAAAAAAATATGCAAGACAAATTATGGGACATTGGACATTATTATATATTCTAATATAATATATTAATTTGTCTATAGCTAGGAAAGAAATCCATTCTTTTCTTTCTTTTTAAGTCACCCTCGCGTAAATATTTTACTGATTGTGAGTTTTAAACGCTTCTTGCTTCGCTGGTCACCATACGTACTTTAAAGTGGATGCACATGGTTCTCCGCAGATAGCGGAAGTACCGGGTCGGAAATATATTACATGATTTTGTTGGTATGTGTTTGAAATATATAGTTTCAGCTTGATGCAAAAATGGAAAAAAAATTTGTCATATTTTTTAAATTGCCTCGCGTATTGCATCGCAATTAACTCCGTTTGCCATTGTAATTATATTATAATACTTGTCAAATTGCCATATGCTTGATTTTAACATACTTTCTGTTTACTTATCATATAAATATGGTTTCAAAAAGTAAGACTTTCTTGCCAAAAGAAAATGTATAATACTGAGTAAAATTATATAAAAATTTCCGTTATTTCAGAAATCTAAAACATATAAATTGTATAAATTATACTCTGTATTTACATAATAATAATACTCAAATACTAATTAAGACAAAGAAATGGTATATTAAATTAACAATGAGCATCGTTTTTTCGTGCCCTTGCGAGGAAACACAAGCGACACGTGTGAGCGCCGAAGGGTCGAAATTGATGAAACGTATACCTACCGTGATTCCGTTCTGCTCCGTTCAAGGGCCGCTCACGCGTTTAACATGGTCCTAACTCTATTTTGAGACCGGCGAAACAGACTTATGGAACCACTATTCTTACGCCCAATTTTCGGCATCCTTACACACGTTAATCTGCGTTTGGTTTTCATCTAACAATAAGAACGTCGAACAGTCAAACGATGCTAATTTTTTTGTTGCACTGAAAACAACTTAACTTTTAATTGAACTTTAATTCTCTCTTCTAGAATCACGAAAAATATTAATTTCTTTAGACAACGTGCAATTATTTACATGCATAATACTTTTTTGTATTAACAAATTTTTCACCAGTAGAGTGTCAAAAACGAAAAATAATTGTCGAGTAATTAATGAGTATAATTAATAAGAGGCAAATCGGAGTCATTCAATTGGTTATCGGCGTAATACATAATTATTCAATTACCCGTAGCTCTTCTTACGTAAGCTACGTAATTGGCATTATCTATGCAATAGGGCCAGCGGATAATGAAAACGTACCATCCATTATGTTTCCATGTATGCGTGTACGTGGGTTGTAATATTTTGCGGCAAATTTGCCGGACGTAACAACGCGACATACTACGTTACTCATTGTTATCTCTTACAATGTATGCATTTACATTCGCACCCACACATGATCGAGGCCATTCACGCCAATGTGCGCAATGTATTTGATGCAAATGAAGAAAAATTACAGGTAATTACATCGAATTTACACGACAAATGTATGTATAATGCGTGTTGTATATATCAAATAATTTTATCTTTAAATCTTTACAAGAGTAATTGATGTTAGATGATTCTAATCCTTATCTTTTATAATGAACAACTTTAATAATGAATGATATACATTTTTTTTTAATTTTAATCTGTAATTTTTATTTATCGCCGCTGTGAAACACCAAGTATATCAAATGCATTTGATCACCGAGCATTTTCGCACCGAGAATGTATTAACGGCAAATTAGTGTTAAATTAAAGATAATAGATGCTTGTTTCGTCGGCCGTTTTATCGCTATTTGACCTCTTGAGACGGTCCTTTCTTCTTTTATATTTGCACCGGTATATCTTTGCATTGTGCAATAAATACGTCATACATATAATAGCGAGGCAATACACAATGCGAACGATACGTATTCATGTCCCGCATTCTTGCATCGTGCGAACCAAGAAGCAGCAATATCTGTCGTTTAACTGTAGTGTCCATTTATCCGTTATATGGAAAACGATACGAGAAAGAATCATGAGAAAATAATCCTTTTTCTTTGATGATATCGCAGAAATTTACTTCTTCTTATTTTTGCGGAAACATTGGGTATTTACAATCATTATTAGCCATGTTATGAATGTATGCAATATTATTAGCAATTGTTGAAAGAAGTATGTAACACAGTATATATAATTATTTAAAAATACTTGTAAATTAGATGCGATTTATAGTATCGAATTATTTATTACTAATATGACGAGATAAAATTAAGTTATTAATGTCAATATAATTTATGAATAATATTATCGATGATAATTTCAGATAATCTTGCATTGAAAGAATAAGAATTATTCGTTCTTCCTGAGCATTAATTAAAGTATCATTATTTCGAAATTTTTTAATGACGATAGCATTAACGTAGAAGAATATAATGACATGTTTATTTAATAATGACTTAAAAAAAAAGCATTATATAATTTTTTTATATTTTATATTATTATAAAAAAAACCTTTTTTAGTTATAATTTACATTTTTTAAGATTAATGTAGTATGTGTGCTTAGAATTAAAAAATGTGTGTGGTTTTATAAGAAGAGTAAAAAATTTATTGTATATTACACTTTAAAATAATTATGCACGGGAACTATTTATATCCAACTCTTATTCTTAATGACTTACAGCCCATCTATCTGTAGACCATTTATGTTCCGCGTTGTGCACCTTGCTTTTACTCGTTAGTTATAGCGTGTCTATCTGCGGTACAGTTAGAGCTCCTGCGAGATGCAATCCTCGCGCGGCAAGTGCGTGCATTGCGTTTGCGCAAGTGAAAATAGGTTTTTCATCTCCGATTGAGAAATTATCGCATCTTTCACGGTTTGACGTTTGGCGATGATCACGAGACGTTAAAATTCTGTGCGGGTATCGCGTGGCAAAAGAATTTCTCCTATATAAGCACGTAACGTAAGATGCATTCACAATCAGTTCCTGACCAGTTAATCGTATAAGAGCGAGAGTATGAGGAACTTTGAATTACGGTATGACATTGTATATTCTGATTTGATAGCCCTCGGTTTAATATTGATAAGCGTTAGTGTGTAATTTTTATAAAGTCAGATTCTATAATAGATTTCTCGCACATTTTTTAACGCATACTGTTTTTGGAAAGCGTGAAGAAAAAAGAGGACAATAAAATACGGCAAATGCCAAAAAATAAATGTTTCCTTCGATTACAAAATATAGTTAATAATTTTTATGATCGGAAAATCCTCTTTAATTTCTTTTTTACTACTGTTAAAGCACGTACGTGCCTCAAGCAAGATCAGTCAATATAATAATCAATCAATAAACGAGTGAGATTTGTAAAAGATACATAAAGGAATAAATAAAAAATATTCTCTTGTAATAATTATTATATCTATTAGACACATCGCTCTTTGTCGTGCAATTTTTTCATTTAATAGTATTCCTCAACATGGAAATGATTGAGAAACACTGATTTAAATCTATAGAACATGATTATCTCAGGTGCGTACGTAAGTATTTACACATCGCAATAATGAGATTCCAAAGAATATCGGAATATTGAGAATTACACATCGCAATAATGAGAATCCAAAGAATATTTGGCATATAAAATATTATGATATATACAGGGTGTCCCCAATTTAAATGTCAAAACTTTAGGAGCGTGTAGGGGACCGATAAACTAAGACAAAATGATTTTGATTTATTCAGCTTCTGTTGGATTTTATTCGTGGATTTGCTACTAATGTTAAATTCTTTATATTATGATGAATTCTACTATTTAAAAAGAGATAAAGAAATAATTATATCCCAAATAATTATATAACGATCTTGTTTGATAATTATAAACGTTGATAAAAAAATCGAACATTCGTTTTTTTTTTAACTGATTGCTTTACTAATTTCTGATTATTTCGATATTTTTATATGTAAAACTTACAGACATAATAATTTTAATTATCTAAACAAAATTGCATGTACTATTCAATTTAGAGAAAGCTGCAAATATGATCATTTTTGCAACAAAATCCTAAAATTTATCAACTTTCAACGCTCTCTGCAGGCTAAACTATAGCTGCTAGACAGTTGTGCTCATTGAGATTTAATTTTATTCAGCGTCATATAAACTGCAAAAAATCTTAAAGTTTGAATGAAATCCACTGGAAGCCATTTCCCATAAGAAGTGTGCAGGTTCTTTGTGTTTTCCAAGCCTGAAAAAAGATTGAAAAGCCCGGAAAGATTGTCTACGCAACAATATCTTTTTTTTTCAATGTAGGACAAATCGATTTCGCAACAAAAGGAGATAACAGAGTTTTGTCTATATGCTCGACTCTCAATCGCTCTGTGTGATCCCACTTTTTTCCAATACTCTATTTCCCCGAAACTTTCAACATTCAATAGAAATTTAAGGTGACAAAGCGTGGGTTAAAATCCAAGGACTGATAACGGGACGTCCGAACCATAGTTAATGTAATTGACAACCTTTTGTCGGGAAAGAATTTCTATTGTATAAAATAATTGCAATATACAAAATAGAAATTTTTCAAACCAATATATTTAAAAAAAAAAATGCTTGTAGATATATATAAAACGATACATAAATATATACATATATAATATTATTTTTTTATAATAAATAAGTTTTAATAATAATCGTGTATATTTAATTACGAACTAAAGGGCTAATTCCAGATTTATTTTTACAAAACGCAACGTCATATGTATATATTATTGCAAAATATTGTGGTTTAGGCGATTGCTCGCGTTTCTATTCGAAGGAAAATAGTTGTCGCAAATCTTGGGTAGTGGGTGAATTTCCTGTTTTATTGCGTTATTGGCAAGGACGATACATTCAATCATTCAGCTAGATTACCTTGTATGGAGGGACGGCGACGAGGCCGTCTTGTATTGCAGGAAACTCTCCTTTCTATCGGACCAACACAGGTTTCTTGATACCGTGGGTTATCGACCGTTTACGCCACAGAGGAAATGTGTGTCACGACGAAGGATGAATAGAGCGCATGCCTGCTTCGCAATGTCGAATTATCTAATAGATGACCGATCGCTTCGTGACTCGACTCACTCTAGAGCCTAGGATATCTATAAGATCGTTTAGGATGTAACGTAGCGAGTTGCATTGCGAAAACCGACTTTTTCCCTTTAGCGTGGAATAATTCCACGATGACTAAGACAGAATGTTAATCGTGGGGAAAATAAAGACGGCAAAAGGTTCTCTGTGTTTCACGTGTTCGAATTTATATTACAAAATTATTGCAAAATTCTATTTGCAAAATGCAAGGCTTAGCTTAGCTTTTTCGTTTTGCCAGTGATTAGATATGCATTTCTCATCATGACGATGCAAGAATGATATAGAATATCAAATTTATATCTTCAAAATAATCTTTGATTCGCATGCAATACATATATATGCTGATTTTTTTATTTAATATTATTTGGGATATAATTATAATAAATCTTCACACACACAAGTGCAAATTCTGCCTAAATTCATATCGAACTACCAGTGACAGTTTCAAAAAATTGATTTTGTATAATCTCTATAATTTTTTATAATCATGTAGTAGGATATAAACAATATCTACTAGCACACTAAAGTTAAAAATCGGGTTTATTTTTAGATCGAGAGAAATTTTTACCTCCTTTGATCTATCATCAACAATTAGCACGATGTCTGGCGGTACTGCAGACCAGTCTTGGCATCGCGGTGACTTTCCTGTCGTTATGGTTGCTGCTTTGGGCACCGAATCTTCCCATCACGGACAATCCTTATTGGAGCGGCATTTCTGTAAGTGTCACAATTTTACACAGTGATTAGATATACGTTTCTCATCACGACGATGCAAAAATGATATAGAATAGTAATTCTCTTTATTTATTTAACAAACTAACTCTTTGTTAGAATAGATACGCTAACGCGTGACTATAATTATGCTTATATATATATCATATAAAGTGACATGATTATATATTTTAAACAATTATCATCTTTAAATGATATATAATTTTATAAATCACAGCAATTATATATTTTTTAAGTTAATAGTCATTTATTGGCGGTTGCATCTATTTCGATAGTTTCTTCAATAGTACATTTTTTATATAAAGTTAACAATGTTTAAAACTTATATTCTTTAACTATAATTAAAGGTAAGTATGCAATAAAGATTATATTCTATCCAGCAATAAAATTGTACCATTATTTTACCAACAATATTTTTCAATTTTGTGATCGAATGATATATATCTTTTTATATAATATATTATATATGTATGTACATATAATTATATTTGTTACTAACACGTAAGTATATGTATATTAACATCTTGTAAATTGTCATGCTTCTTCACAGTACTTTCTTTGTACGTGTGTTTATATATATATATTTGCTGTTTAATATTTTTAATTTTGGATATCTTCAGCTCTTGATGTCGGGTAGTTTCGGAATTGGTCTCCTATGCTGTTTCAAGAAGGAATATCCGGATATGAGTCCCGGATTTTGTCTTTCCACCACAAAGGTATGTAAGAATTTCCTATGATTCACTGTAGATCTCTACGGAAAAAAATTCAAGGCCGAATCCATCTTATTAAGAACCCATATTATTATCTACCCAGCTTCTTTAATGATAATTATTTCTTGTTCTCTTAGTATAGTTTAAAATACAATATGCATATATTTTATATATTATATAGTATAATATCATTATATATTGTATATTATATTATATTATATGTTCTTATATCAGTTATAAGAATTTGAATTGTAAAAAGAATAACAATTTAATTTTAATTTTATTTTGATTTATTAATAACTTATGACTTTCTGACGACATATATTATTATCGAATAATTATAGTATATTTCTCTCTCTTTCTCTTTTGCTTTCTCTGTGTTATCGCGCCTATGTATATCTTGTTTTGCTACGTCAAACAGGTTGTTAGCGTGTTTTTGGCGGTTCTGGCGACTATGGCGTGCGTGAGTGCGTGCGTATTCTCTGCGATGCACTTGTCGCGACTCATGGGACTGGAATGCACTCCAGCACGAGTACTAAACGCCACGTGTGTATGCAGGCCACGCGGGGAGTCGCCTGATTCACTCGAAGATGCAGTCAGGTATGTCACGTAAAATAAGAGTCTCCGATATTGATAAACTATATAACATTTTTTAAAGCATTCAAAAATTTATGAAAAATTATAATATATATGTGATATATTACGCGAGTTGTTTTTGAAGGCAATACTGTCTCTCTCACAGGGCCTTTTTCATTTTAATCTCCAAATAGAGATTTTCGCTTATTTCAATATCAGCAATCTGAATAATCAAACTTTAAATTTTTGAAGTACAATATAGGATTCTTTTTATATTTTAAGAATATTTTAAGATATACGTCTTTCCCGATTTTATCACCCCTCCTTTCCATTATCAAAAACTCTGAATAGGCGAGAAGAGTTTGATATCTAAAAACGCTTTTGTTTTTCAAAAAACAACATAACAACCATATTACATCGTGTAACACAACAAGTTTAGTATTACGACGATATGCATATAAAAAGCGATATTTTTTTTATATCTCACCAGATATATGGATCTTAATTGTCCCGAGGTAGAAGATATTCTGACGATCCTCCTCATCTTCTCGTGTACTTGCAACGGATTAGGCATGTTGTCAGCAGGATGTTATAGTTACCTCCATTGGATCACGCGATACAAGAGGCCAAAGTATATACAAGTCAGGACTAACAATATGTCCACGAACAATACGCTCAGCAATAGACCAATCTACAAACCGAAATTGGAAGAGCGATGACGCTTGCAGATGCTATAATGATCGAAATGCTTCCATTTTGTTGTGATCCATCAACATCTTTCTTGTGATCGTGGGATTGATCAACACAACGTTACATATGTAATGAACATGAACGATTATGAACGATAAATCTTATTCTACATTAATAGGTGAAACCATTCCGATAAATAAAATGACAAAAACAATTGTTCTAATGCACAAACGAGAAGAAGAAACATATTTTATACAAAGACATGAGTAGAGAAATTTTAATCGACAAGCTAGAGAATTCTCTTCGTCACTTTACACTGGATAACAAATTCACAATTTTGCAGAAAGTGACATAATAAATCCTTGAAAAAAAAAAAACGCCCTCATAATCGAAAATCCAAGATTAGAAAAAGTGTGTGTATATATTTATTATTAATCATTAATGATACAATAATGATATAATATTATTGAAATACGATACAATAATGGATCACTATATAGTGGAAAAACAATTTTGAACTCGATAAATAGCGCTCATTTTTTATTACGTGAAGGCTCAGTATTTTTTTAAACTTAATGTGTGTATTTATGTGTGCGTGCATTTGACAGTGCGTTTGTCTTCCAACTGAAAGGAATTTGCTGAAACGAACGAAGACTATAGACTACATATTGACTTTTTTATCCATTTACATTAAGACTAAGGCTTATAAATGAAACAAGTACCTCAGACTTTTGAAATAATATAATATCAAGATATTTACGTTATCTTTTATACATTACATATATTAATTGTATTTAGTAAAATAATATGGAATTACAAAAAATGTCATATGTATTTATACAAAATAAAAATCTGTGGCGAGTAATATTGATACAAAATTATATACACGATGTCAATCTTATTACAAGATCTGATTTCAGAATTGCTCAAAATACCAAAATAAAAATAGATGGTATTCAAGAATTTTGTGCTTGTCAAAAAACAATACGAAAAAAAAAATGAGAAATGTGTGCAACAATTATAATCCTTTTGTATTGTATGTAGATATGTGTTTCAATTTAGAACTTACACAATTCCTCTTTTCTATATATGTAAAATAACAAGATTTCACTGGATTTTTATGCATGCTGCAATTTTCAAATAAATAATCTCACTAGAAACAACTTTTTTAAAAAAGCTCATTAATACTAGTTCTACATTAATAATCTATTTATGTTTCTATATTTTTATGTGACTTTGTTATTGAAATATATAATTTTTTCACAACCCGAAATATTCGAATAAAAAATTAATAGTTTTAATACAAAATCTGTTTATAACATAATGGAAAAATATCAGAGAGAAAGGAAGAAAATATATTAAAAATCCTTTTAACGATTTTTTATCTCCATTTTTTCACTACTAAAATTTTATTATTAATGTACTAACATAATGCTATTTGTGATGCTAACATAATGTTTTAATTTATACATCTCTACAACTTGCAATTATAATACTCTTTTTACATGTCAATTTTTTTAAAATTAATAACTGTGAGAAACTACGAGAAAAAATTTTTCTAGTGAAAATCATATAGATATTTTAAGAAATATTTTTAATTAATATTAATAAAAGATATGAACGTATTAATTTTTATATTTTAAAATATGCGGTTTTAACAAATTAAATGTAAACGCAACAATAATATTTATTTATTAATTACTAATTATTTATTACTAATTTATTTATTAGTTACTAATCTTGTGTTTGATGCAGCAAGTTGAAAGCCGAGTATGACATCTTAAGCAACTGTAAAGAATTGTTTGAAATTATTCAAAATTTGTATGTTATTGATATTTAGTAATAATTCTTATTGTGTTAATTGATTGATACTGACAGCTACAAACGAGTCAAGATTTAATGATAATATGTACATGCTACTAAATTCGATGGGGATTGTTGAGCGCTTCATAATGAGTATAAGATCTTTCTTGCAGCTACTGCTAAGTGCCGGCCATTCCACTTTGTTATAAATGTTATTCGCCAAATGAAGACTCTACAAATAAAGATGCTTTGCAATATTGCACATTGTAAAAAAAAATATCAGTATTTATCTCAATTTTTTTTAAATTTTGTATTTTTATTATATTTAAAATTTATTTTAGATAAATCATATACTTTTGTCTTGACTTCGTTTCCGAACCAACAATAGATAAAAATTTGCGCCAATATAGCACCCATATATATCATCAATGAAATGAAAACTACAAAACTCGATGTCGTTGCTATTCGATATAAATTCGAACATAGCACCAACATGCTCACCGCAAACTGTAGAGCAATTATTTTTGAGAACATTGCATTCACCGTGCACGCGTATCTACAATGGAGTAAAAAATTTTTAATCCATTTCGTTCTTATTATTTTTTTATATTACTTAGCGAACAATTAGCAATTGTTATAAAGGCGCGACTTCATTTTGTGTGTAGTTCAAATTTTTTAGAGCAGAATAAAATTATAAAAATAATATTAAAAAACTAACTCAAAGATATAGTTATGATGACGAATACAATCGTGCAGGACGTGTTGACTATGCATGATTTTTGTCAATCGATACTCCAAAATTTCAAGCTGACAGCAAATATATAACATTAGTCCGCAAATTACACTTTCACAAGCAACGTTTACTATACCCGAGGTTGCCATGCCTATCAATTGGTAAATATACACAAAAAAGTATACTGCAAAGGATGAATAATCGAATGGCATCCATGCTTTGTAGGTCAAGTTTCTTTTCGTGAACTCTGTGAAAAAAGACGTCAAAACTATCGATATGACCGCCATCGTGACGAGAATCAAATACCGTAACGTATTGTTCCTATAAAATAATTATAAAGATTATATTAATTTATTTTTTTATAAGATTTAATCATTGGTATTTTTTCCTCTTTCTTCTCTTCTCTTTTTGGATATTTATTATACTATTTGTATATAGAATACTATTTTATATATTTTTTTATTTTATAATTATAAAAATAGTTCTTATTTCAGAAAATAATATAGTTGTATATGAAAAAATATTAAATTATATATGTCAGATACTATTTGTATAAAATTATCATGTAAAAGTATACAAGCATATAAATGTAAATATATTTTAAAGCATTGCCCTAAAATATTTAAAAGCACAATATTCTGCCATTTAAAAAATTAATTATCAAAAAATGACTAATGCATTTTACTTGATATATTACATAATTTGATTGACGCAAACTTATATAAAATGATATAATAATACTTACTCTACCATCTTCTCAAATTTTTGTTGAATCATTGCTTCGTGTGTTTCACATATTGCGAAAGGTTTCTTGATAAGAACGTTGATTACGACCATGATTTTTTTTCGATCTATCCACATATAAACTTGTTTATAGCCTGCGACGAATACGGTCAACATCATATATAAAGAATCGGTGAATTCGTCAGAATTTTCAACATTAAATATGATGTTCATAAATTGCGATAACGCAAATGTACATAATGCAGAAAAAAGAAACATGGCGTGAGTTTTATATATTATATGTTTAAATAATGACGTCCATGAAGATGGTTGCCAGCATCCAGCAAATGCACAAATTAGGAATGTAAATTTCAGCACGCGCATTTAAGCTTCTCTAATGCAATTTTGCCTATTAATAGCTATTATTTATTAATTATATTAATTATTTTACGATTAAAATATTTCTGTAAAAAATAGAGATTTATATGTTAAAAAAATAAAATTAATTTCCTGAAAAAACGCGTCGAGAGAAAAAGCTTATAATAAAAACTACGGTACTATCTTATTATTTGTTTAATCAAATCTTTTTTTCTTCGATAAGTTTCAAGTATATATTTTACTTATTTTTTACAAATATATATGTATACTTTATTTTAGAATATTAAATATTTAAAGTTTAATTACAAAATGTTTAATATATTGCACATTGTAAAAGAGCAAATAAAATTTATATTAAAAAAAATTATTTTAGATTATTAGATTATTTTTGAAAAGATTATTCACATTATATGGAATACACGGACAGACATCTATCCAAAAAATTAGTTATTTAATGTTATCTCTTTAACTTTTAAATATATATTATATATAAGTATACATTAGGCTTATACATACAAAAAACTTTTCTAACCCACTTGCACTATAAATTATTTGCGTTTATATTCAGTTTTTTCCTAAAAAAATTTAAAAAGTTAAATTTATTAAATTAAAATTAATTTAATTTAATAATTTTTATAAAACATTTATTTAAACCCTTTATCACGTCTTAAATGTCGATGGATAAATTAATATCGTAAGAGAAAAAGATACTGAAAATGTCTATAGCCGCGCGATGTGACTTTCTGATAATAATGTTACTCGTCATATCCCATTATGTCTATCATTATTTCTTCTCTATCTTCTCGATACCTGTCTTATTAAAAAATTGCATAATGTACCGTTATTGTCATGAAGACAATGGGACAGAAAAGTTATATGGCAAAATAAATTTCTTGAAATAGACCATTAGCCTATAATATAAGGAATATTTTGATACAGCTTACTCATTATATATGTACATCAAGATGTTATATTTATTATCTATTCCTATTGTACTGTTCATAATTTCGTCGAATATATATTCTTTTAATGTTAAGTAATGGATCATCAGTTGTAGTTTATGAAAACTTAATACTAGCTCGTATATTCGCTTGAATAGTACAATATTTTTATGATCATATTATACGTATCGGCGTATGTACATCGGAATATAATAAGATATTATAAATATTCCTTTGGTTACAGCATCAATTCTTATCTTGTTTCTCATCGGACATAAACAGGGTAAGGAAAACTTCTAACTCTTAACATAGATGTATTTCAAAAAGCGTCACACTGACAAATCGTATATAATGCAATTCAAAATTTTCTTATCAAATATTTATTTATATGTGTATGTTTGCGCTTTTCTCTACTAGAATAATTATTGCTATGTCCGACGTTAAAATATAATAGCTGTCCAAAATATTCAAATAAGAAATTAATAATTTTAGCACGAAGCATGTTTGTTACGCGATAGAAAAATATCAAAGAAATAAAATAGAAAATTTCGAATGTGAAAATAATATTGTTTTGTTTGGTAAACTTTATAATAGGAACGTTTGTGCTTAATGGCTCATATTTTCGCTTTGACGTTCTTACGTATTATTAGAACTTGTTCTTATACGAACTGCAATTTTTAAAAATGTTGGTAATAAAAAACTTATAAAAAGTTTTATAGATTTCTTGAAAATTATTTAGTCATATTAAAATGAGAGAGAAAGAGAGAGAGAGAGAGATTAATATATTTATTTCTGCACTTTTTCACATAACATCCGTCGAATGTGATGTCATAATAAATTAAATGTGAACAATAATAACTTCCGTTATTATACACGTTACTATTCTTGCGTTTGATGCAGTAAATTGAAAATCGAGTATGACATCTTAAGTAACTGTAAAAAACACATGAATATATCTAAAATTATTTGAAATATATATAATAATCAGCAACAAGAAATTAATATTATCTTTAGTAATACTGACAGCTACAAACGAGTCGACATTCATCGTGATTATATAAGCACTACTAAACTGGATGGGAATCATCGCACGCTTCATAATTAATAAAAGAGCTTTTTTGTTGTTATTACTAAGTGTGATCCACTCCATATTATAAATGTTATTCACGAATTGAAGACTCTACAAATAAAAATATATAACACAATAAATTACATGTTACTTGCAGAAAATGCCATATTTTTCCTAGTAATTTTAACCATTTTTTATTAATTGTCATCTAATGAGTTAATTTGTTTTTTTTTTTCTAAATAATATTTAGTATTTAAATAAGATCAATTTAAGTAAGATATATATACTTTTAACTTGACTTCGTTTCCAAACCAGCAATATATGAAAATTTGCATTAATATAGCACTTGTATACATTATCAATGGAATGAAGCTCATATAGTCTGTTGCCATAGCTATTCGGTACATATTTGAGCATACTACCAACATGCTCACCGCAAACTGGATGGCAATTATTTTCGCAAATGTATTGTTTATCGTGTATGCATATCTGCGATTAAAAAATACAAGGAATTGATATCCCCGCAAATAAATCGTGATATTATTCACAAATCGTTGAATTTATTTATATGCGCGCACGTATTATTAGATTTAATAATTAGTTATTCCATACAAATATAAAATATTACAGATTCTTTTCGCACGTTTTATAGTTATTCGAATTCTTCAATTAATTCGGTGGGCATTAATCTATTCTCAGTAAAAATTTTATTGAATACTATTTTTAGTTACAAAATGTATGTATAAATTATTATATTATTATATTATTTTAATAATATTTT